CTTGAGCGGCTTGCACCGTCACGCCAGCTACCAACGGCTACAGGTGCTCCGCCCCACTACGGGTCGATGGACGTGTTGCCGGGCTACGTATGAGACGGCGCCGGGGTGCAGGGCGCGGGCCCATGTCGCCAAGGAGGTCATGCTTAGCGTGAGGGCCAAGAGCCACGCCCCTCTTTTCGTGGCGGGCTATGAGGTGCACCCCTACCAGTTTATGGACGTGTCCATCTTCCCAGGGGCGGACTACAAGCTTACTTTCCAACTCACTCGCAACATCGTGGAACTCCTCCACGCTTACTTCCTCACGCAGGACGTGACGGGCCCCGTGCTGGCGGACGATGCCGCCCAGACCACCGACCTTCTTTTCGGGAGGAGCGTTTTGGAGCAGAAGCACAAGGCGGGGAAAGAGAAGAAGGGAACCTATCTCACCGACCGCTTTGCCAAGAATTTTATGGGGGGGGAAAAGCCTTCGTCTTCCGCTTCCCCCAGGGCATCCACGGCCTCTCCCCGCTCCTCTCCCCACAAGAGTTCTTCCGCTAGTCTTGTTTCGAATACCAATACTACCGTAGCTAGCACTGCTAGTGGGGGCTCGGTGGTCAAGGGTGATACGCCAAAGGAACCGGTCATTTACATGCGATATCTCCGGTGGGGGGATTTGAATGTAAAACTCTCGGTCAACGGGTTTGCCCTAAAATTCGACGGTTACCGAGCTTCTATTCCTGCTTTCGTCCAACAGGGAAAGATCTTGTCGTGGAAACGTTTGATTCGCAAATTTGAGAAGCACGTCGTGTGGAGTGTAACTACTTCCGCCGCTGCGTCCATGGTTTCAGGGGGTGGCAAAGGAAAGGGAAATTATCAACTAGCCAATGATGGTGCAGGGGGGTGGGGAGAAAGAGATGGGAGTAAATTGAGCCCTAATGGAAATGGCGAAGATGAGAAGGAGCGGGGTGTGAATACATTATTCAGCCCTCCACCGATGGAGGACCGAAGCAAGTTGTTGTTTGGAAAGAGATAGAAGATAAAACATGGTGAAGAGCTGGACTTTCGATGGAATGTACACGAATGGTGGGGCAGATGTGAGGATAAGTCTCCGAAAATGAGGACTACTTTTGACGTCGACGTTGATTGTAACTTTGGATAGAGCGTAAACTGTGGATAAATGATACTACTTTCTGATGTATATTTGGGACCAGGTCAGCAAACGAGGCCAAACCAACTCAACTATGCAAGAGCGATAGCCTCAATCATAAGAAGGAAATAATTTCGACTATATATCAAAGGATGAGTGTCCTTGACCCATAACGCTCTTTGATCTCTGAGCACTGATATTCCTGAGAGAAACTAGCAAATCAATTTCGAAGAGCAAAGATTTACTAAGTAATCAGGAATGGAGGCAGATTCACGCGACGGGCATATTGAAAGTACATCGGGCACAAAGGAAAAAGACAAATGTTGCAGATGCTCAATTTCAATTCTGAGACTGCATAGGTTCTGGCATGTCTTGCGCTGATAGCCCCTTCCATTTTTTTAACCTCTGGTTCAAGCTACCAAGCCTTTTACGAAGTTGGAAGATAGCACATTGTTCGTACGAGTTAAAATGTGTGATCTATCTAAATCTTACTCGTGGGAACGGAGAGCTTACAATTTTATCCTGTCGATCAGGAAGCGCACTCATAATGCCTTTCCATTTTCGTCAAGATTACATACCCGGACATACGTCCGGCACTGCCCACCAGTGGCACTTACCAGCGTCTTTTCGAGGCCGGGACGCAAACACTCCGCTCTATGAAGCCACCTCGCCTGCGACATGTGAATAATGATATGACAGTGTCACTTTACCAACGCTCTAGGGATAGAAAACTCACTTCTTTGTGTACCTAATACCCATTACTCTCACCAGGGATACATTTGCCACGCACGCATCTCCCTTCGCATCTACCTGTCAACTCTCAAAAAAGCTGGCTATACATCTGAATCTTACACAGCGAATATTCACGCGAAGAGCATATAGGCTCTAGTTTGTGAAATAAGTGCAGGAGCTCGCGGGTAGCAGGATTTGAAGCCGCCGTAGCGGCTAGCCGGTGCAGCATCCGCAGCCGCAGCTGAGGGCTTTCCCCGAAGGCTTGCCTCCATTATGTCTAGACAACTCAGCGCCACTGCCTTCACACTCATTATTTCTCATTCTTTACCACTGGGCAAATTATGGAGAACCCCATCGACGCTGCGCAACTTTTCAAATACAGCCCGACAGCACGCGGTAGGTGGGGCGGAGGACGATAAAGGAATTTGAAGCCAATAGCGTGCTAGCTATAGATCGTACGGGAGTGCCTTAGTTGACAGCGCATGAAAATAGTTTCGGGGATTTTTAGCTTTTTGTGAGCTTAGTGATGGGATTCATTGCACTGAGAGACATTCTTCTTACCTGACCATGCCGTCGATCAGGGCGCTGCGTCGAAACATGCAGCCACGCCAAGAGTAGGCCATAGCGGACGCAGGAAGGGACAAAAGTCGAGGGATGAAGCGGCGTTGTCGGCTATTGGCTTGGGAGAGAGCGTCCATGCACTCCCAGAGACGCTTCTTGAAGGGAGTAGTCTTGCCCACCAAGCCGTCAACCCTCTTGCGAGACTCAAGCCAAATGGCCGCGCTGCGAACTCTGTAAACGCTGCCAGCGGCAACAAACTCAAGGTGAACGCGAAGGATAAAACACAGCAACCGTCTCAGCAAACCACTCCCTTAAGGGGTGCACGTAAGCAGGAAGGCAGCAGTGGGGGCGGAAGACCGAAGGTCAAGGGCGCTGCAGCTTTCTTACAGCAGCAACGACTAGGCGGTCAGAAGGCCCAGTCAATGCTGGGCAACGATACGATGAATGGCGTAAATGGCTCGGCGAAAGATCGTTTTTCTAACCGGGTCCTGCCCTCCGAATCGTCCTCTCAGCCAGGAAACCAGCTCCCATCGGGTAGGGCAGCCTTGGCCTCAGGTGGAAGGCATGGCAGCATTCCCCCCGGAAAAAGTGGCGGGAATAGCATGGACATGGCGACGTATCAGCGCTTTAGCGACCTTGGCCAGCGCCTGGCCAATGCGCGCACGAACCTCGAGCAATCCCAGCAGAGACCAGGAAGGCGTCAGCAGGCATGGCAGCCGTCTTCCAAACCACGCCTGCAAGCGTCCTCTGCCCCATCTTGGCCGCCCCCATCGAACCACGAGCACCCTCAGTACCGACAAGAGGGGTTTGCAGGCTTCGCGCTTGCCAACGGGGAAAGTGTGGAAAAGGGGAAGGTCTCCGGCAACAGGCTTGATCGAGGCCGATGGGGGGCTCCTGCCACTGCGGCGGCCGCGCCTGCAGCGGTCTCTCCGATAGGCGCAGAGCATGTCCGCTTGTGGGAGGTAGATTTGGGTGAACGCAAATCGGCGTCTTCCCGGGCCCCGGTTCTGTCGCGGGAAGAAAGTCATGAAAATCAGAAGATCAGGAGCCAGGAGCTGCAGCAACGCCAACGCCGCCGGCAAGGCCGAAAAGGACCTCGGTTGGGTCGTCGCCTCCGG